ACTGTATATAGATTTTGAAGCACAGCTTTGTGTACACCTTTGAATACTATAATTGTGCAAAAATATTAGGGGGTATGCACATTACTACGATAACAAGAAATATGTAGAAATTCCATGGATACAGTTAACAGTAATAAAGAGTTAAAACTTAGAAGAATGCATAGAACTGACTCTATGTATGTATAGTATAGGCTGTAAAATCATAGCTCTTATCCTTCTCATCCTTATCAACATTTGTGGAGATAAACATACTCAGAAATGTACATAATATTGAAATGTATATTTTTGCAAAGTACAGTGACAGTAGATTAAAAAAAAACATCATAAACCATTTTGGGCACTTTCCAGAAAGGCGTGTTTCAAGAATTAGAAGAATTATCTGGATAGTTGTTCACGTTGTTCAAGTTGTTCGTCTGGTTTCTTGTTCATTACAAAGGCTGTACATTGAAAAAATATCTTACTTCATTTATAGATAGTGTGACACACTTTGTTCCTTAGTTAGAGCCAATGTGATTGCACTGTCCCTTGGAAAATGTATTTGAAGCTCAAGAAAGTTTTTAAAAACTCTTGTGTTTTGATTTGGTTTGTCTTTTCACCTATTTTTCACTTCAATTCTATTTCATTTTCATTAAGTTTTAAAAAGCTGTTAGTTTGATGGGGCTATAATCTGTGTTGAGAATTCATTTCTGTGCTCACTGTCTATGTCTCTTGGCATTTGTATTTTAGTGTCACCAGCCTTTATTACTGTTAACAGGTTGTATGCTTCAGTAGTAAAGCAGTAAAGAAGCTAATTATTAACACATTCTTGCAAAGTTCTGTGATGTTTGGTGGTATGAACTAGTCTTTCACATTGACTTGTATGTAACACACTACCCAAGCCTCTGTTGATGCACATTTTCTGAATTTAGCCCTCAGAACACCTCTTTGGCAGCAGAATATGTTTATTTTTCTATATTTTTTGAAAATATATAATGCCATTAGTTGGACCCCAAGTTGGAACCCTAATTGCTGACTTATCATGGAGTCCATTTTGCAAACTGCACAGATGCTCAACTCTGGATTCTCTGTACCAGTTCTCGTATTTGCCCCTGAATTAATTCCTTGCCTTATCTGAGTTTCCTTTAAAAGGAGAGCATGTGACATGAATTATCTATTCCTACAGCCCTGTTATCTGAACTTCCTTCCTTGCTCATGGACGATAGCTAAGGGAGAGGTAAATTGAAAAGGATTAGGCTAATGTGTCCGTAAAGCCACTTACCAACAGACCTTTTGGGCACTTTCCAGAAATGAGAGCTTGAGTTATTAGTCTGTAGTGCCACAGCTGGCAGTAGCACAACAGTATCGCTATCATTGAACCCTCATAACACAGATTAAGCTCAATAATGGTTTAACTGTGCACAGACCCACAGACAGCTTTGAGGTAAACCCTATCAGGACTTTATGATAAGCTAATGGATACAGGCAGAGATTATTGGCAGCTGTTAGGTGCTACTAACGAACTAATCTCAAATTTAAATCAGGCTTCTTTAATATTCAGTGATGTACTGGCATATTATTTGAGTGGTGCTTATTTAAATTTGCAGTCACACAGATGTAAGCATTTCATTAGTGTTAACAAACAGTGAGCCTACAGGAATGCAAGGCAGATGGGGAAACTGTCTGGTATACAGTAAGTGGTCACAAGCAGGGAAGATCTTTAAGCTTTAAAAAGGCATCCTTAAGATTTTTTTGTGTGTGTGTCATGAGTACATTATTGAAAATAATTTTCACATCTGGCTCAGACATTTTAAGTGGGATTGTGAAAACAAACAAAAATAAGACGATAATTTAAAAAAACTCTAATAAATAATCCAGGGAAATCTGTAAGGGTTAATGCTTCTTTTGTTGTGTTTATCCTGTCAAAGACAAATAAGCATGTTGGTATGATCAGTGACACATAGCCACTATTCTAATCCTTACCTTGAAATACTAAAGAATTTGTCTGTTACAAAAAAACAAAGTTTTTTCTAGTGATCTTGAAATCACTTCTCCCATTCTGACAGAAGTGAGTTTTACCTCAAAGACAATAACTGTATCAGGAGTTCAGCACTGAGCAAAAGAGAAAAATTATGGCCAAAATGGTAGGTTTATAAACGTCTTTATTACATACTGGATGGGGGATCCCTGTAATGTTCCAATTTTAGGTTTTCATTTAGACTTTTTTCTTGAGTGGCTTCTTCCTAAAGCAAATGCCAGGGCTAATATTTGTAATGTCACATAGCTACATGAATCAGTTTTCTGTGGACCTTTTGGTAATGACAGGTGGAGAGACCATTGTCAGCCTGCTGTCTCTCGTGGTTGGCTTTGAAAAATGGGATTCTTTTGTTTTTTAAAACAGCATAATGCTGGCAGAGATATCTGTTTTATGCTATTCAGTGATGGGAGCTTTTGCATTGTAAAAACAGACCAAGCTTCATATAGTCAGGATAGAGGAGTTTTCATTTAGGTGCACATGGAACAACCCAATTAATATCATTATAAGCAGACTCCAAGGATCAAAAAAGTCTTCAATAAAGCCTGGAATTTGGTCAGGAAGCATTAACAAGCAAATACTCTTGAATCAATTAAATCCCATACAGGTCTCGTGCCAAGGTCCCTTTTAAACAACGCTCATTTTGAACAGAAATAATATGTCCAATCTTATGAAGAATATGCTTTATGGAAACAGTCTAGACATACTCTAAAGGAGCCAGTTAATGAAATTATGTCTACAAATTTAACCACTAAACAATACACAGCTTGTAAAGAGAGACTGCATCACCCGTCATAATCCTTAAATTTAATGCATACACAGCAAAACAATTAAAGGACATAGCCCAGATATTGTCAAATTTGTCATTTTTTGGATGAAAGACTCACCGTCTTTCCATTTAACAGCTCTCTAAAGCTATCAGAACATCCTAGTCACCTGGAGTCTCATACATCGCTTACATGTCTCAAACATGTTTTTTAGGTTTATACTTAGGGTCGGGTTAAGTAAGTAGTGTATGTGTTTTGGGGGAATAGAGCAAAGGTGTAGATACATTCCTTTGAAAAGGTTTTAAGTGACTAATTGAAAATGTGCCTGTGATCCAACTGATAAGTATATATATTTAACTCATTTTTTTAATTTCAGGATTGCAAATTCTGTGGATTATGCTCTTCCAAAACACTTTTGTAATCTTGTTGACTAAGGCGTTTGATTATAAAACATCTCATGCCAGAAAGTGTTCCTCTGGAATGGAGCCACAAAGCTCATAACCTGCTCAAACAGAAAAACAAAGCTGTGCATCATGGCTGTGCAGCATGAACAAGCTCTTGAAAAGCACCTTTTCTACAGTTCTGATCATCTCCATGCCATTAGACATCTCACTATTCTTTTTAGCCTTTTATCCATAAGCCACTCTATAAATAGTATACAGGGTCTAAATGAACAGCATGATCATGAAACAAGGTTTTATTCTAAAGAAAAATTGGTTTAATAAAAAATGTCCTCATATTTAATAGATAATCTTGGTTTATGACATCAGTACTGCAAAAGGTTTAACACGATACATATTATAGTGTATATACAGTAAATATACATACTGTAAGAAATATATATATATACGGTAAGAAATATACATACTGTATATTTACTGCATTTTTTTAATTGTACCTTCCACTCACATTGATCATGTCCAGCTACAGTAACCAGTAATCCAGGAATCCGAAATGCTGATGACTTTCTATTGTGTTTCGCAGGCCTGCTGATTGGCTCTGGCTGTGCTCTCTATCCCCTGGGTTGGGACAGTGAAGAGGTGCGACAGACCTGCAGTAACAGCTCAGACCAGTTTGAGCTCGGTAAGAAATTTACACATTTTCCTCATCTGAAGCTGAGATAGCTGGTCTGCCTCAAGCGTACAGTATGTAGATACTGTATATCTTGTGCATTGCAAACAGTAATTGGAAAGTTACAATGGTGAAAAAAGAGTGTTTTTGTTTTAAATCTTTTCTTATTAAACACAAACTAATATTTCTACTGACCTTGTTATTATTCAAATGACCAATATTGTTTTTATGTCCCACTTCATCCAATATGCATACTATTTCATATGCAATATAGTCTTCAGATTAACTTGCTCTGAAAGTTTTAAAAAGCAATAATATAATCATTACTTGTTTAATTTTTTTCTAATTCCTTAGCTATAAACCAGAAATTATATTTTCCAAAGGACAAGTTATATTATTACCTCGGTAGTTTGTTTAATCATTTATTGATTTTAAAAAGATTATTATATTTTTGTTCAGGAAACAGAAAAAACATATCTAGCCAAAAAACTTTGAAAATCAACTAGTAAACTTCTACACACAACACAGGCAGTGCACCACAGTCACAACTGAAGTTAAACTGCCAGCCAGGAATTGGAGTTTGGCAATTATATGTGTAGATATGCTTAGCATGTAAAAATACATTTTCCTGAGAGCTTTACAAGAAAGCCAAATATCATAAAAGCATACAGTATGTGCAGAAACCAATAGACATTAAATTATTATTTTTTATTTTACTTAAGAGCTTCAATTCTGAGTTTAGCTAATGACCAATATTCTATAGCTTTTATAGCAGTGATCAATTTAAAATTACTCAATGCTGCCCTGACTTTCTGATTCAGTTCAAGAAAGGGAGCAGCCTTTATAATTTGTCTTCTGGAGCAGGTGTTTGGAGAAAAGCCACTTCCTATCTCTCAACTCCAAAATTAATGAACCCAAGAAAGTGTTTTTTGTTTACCATTTTCTTCGGTTGATAGCTTTGGTTTCTTACAATTTTTTAAGCATTCAACAACATTTTGAAAGTAGATTCAACCACTTATATTTGAGAGATGACTAATGACTTGCAACCTGAACTGCGATCATAAACCTTCCTAACATTTAAAACATACAATAGTAACCTAATTGACACTTTGCATGATTCCTTTATGCACAAAAGTTGTGTATGATTATTACACACTAGCATATTTGTGAAGTAGGCTGGCTCATGGTTTAATTTTACAAAGAGGACAGAGTCATAAAAGGGGACAATGCCTTCAAAATGCTCTTCAATCTGGAATTCCACTTAATCTCTCTGACACAAATCAAACATTGCTGATGGCAGTGATAGACAGATACTGTATAAGTGTATTGTATATCCAAAAAAAGAAATGTGTCTTTGGCATCATCATACAAAACTACAAAAAACAAATAACACTTAACATAAAATACATACACATTAAAAACAAATGATATTCTAGCCATGCAACAATACATGTACACATATCTCACTCTTACATATACAGTGTTACACTATCATTACATTAAACTGATGTCCTGTAATTTTAATACAGGAAATGGTCACTTAGCTGCATTTAATATACTGATTGCACATGGAACAAAAGATTTCTCGTATACATTTTTCTTGGCCACAGGCACTCTAAAACACCTCCCTGAAGGTAGCAGTTGGAAACAGATTGAAGAGGGTGGGAGCTATTTCTGTGGTTGACCAGTTTTTTTACTAGCAATAATATCAATTCTAGCCAATTTTCCCTTACTCTTAATACTCAGGCTACCATACTACACCGTGATACCAAAAGTAAGGATGCTTTTTACTAACATTCTATAAACCCTCTCTGAAACATTTTAACTCACTTCAAACCCTTTCAACTTCCTGATCAAAAATATACGCTTTTTAAAGAATTTTTAAAAAATGCAATTGGTATTCTTTGAATATTTCAAAGTTTAAATATTCATCTGTTACTGTTCCTACTGAAGGTATTTGAAACACTGAACAACCATCACAGAGTTGAAAATCTAACTTATTGCTGTCACAAGTAGCCAGTTTTTGGCTTTTATCAACATTAATATGAAGCAAGCTTAACTGACACCACCTTTCCTGTTTAATTATCTCCTGTAATTAATTATCCACCTTTTCTCTATCATTACCAGTAAACAATCCTACTAGGGTCATACCAACTGCATAAATGGAAATAACATTTTGTATAAATGGAAAATAGTAAAAGGGGAACACCGGTATTTAGAAAATAATCATTGGAAAATATGTTGTTTATGTGAACCCACTGTGGGCGATCTGAAAATCCTTAATCCATTTTATAAGCCTCCCATTAACACCCAAACTCAACAACCGTTCCACCAGTATGTGGATTCTTCAGGGATATGTTCCCAGAAGAAAATCAACAATAGTGAAAAGAGCATAGTCACTCAAGTAATTTCAGCAATGTGAATGCATTGACACGCCATGTTAGGCAAGTAAGTGGAATGTCAACAAAGTCGAGAACTTCCTCAAAAGTCAGACAATTGGATTTCTCAGCACAGCATCATTGCTCATTCTGTCATGAGAATAAATCCAACAGAGATGAGCGCATAGAAGGTGAATCCCAGACAGTAGCAGCTTCTTTGCCCTCTGAGCCTGACATTTCAATCTGCGTGACAACTAATTTACAGTGCCTTGTGAGAGTATTCAGACCCTTTCACAAGCTTCCCATTTTGTTGCTTTTAAGCTCGCAGTTAGAACTTCAAAGTGGCAATTTATGTGTGAACAAAACACAAAAAGACAACTAAATTAAAATGAATATAAAAGAAAATTGTGAAGTTCTGACTTGAATGCTGTCAAAAATCTGTGGAAATTTGTTGTGAATACAATGTTTCCTGCACAAAATAATACTGTTTTTCACAGTTGTTTTAAGCACAGCTACCCAAGCTACCCAAGTAAAAAGGTCTGTGACAGGGAAGAAATAAAATTAAACTATAATCCTGGAATTTATTTATGGTAAAACATTTGCCATATTTCTTCACTGATGCTACAGGATGTCAATGAAAACATGAATTATGAAGTTTTCTCAGGCATTGATTTGTAAGTCATTAGCATATTTAATTCATATTTTATTTTCTCCTGGTTATGGAGTGCCATCGTGTCTTCTGGTTATTATTCCATCCTGAACAGTCCTTCCTTGAGCTACATTGCCACTGTTTCTAGGCCTTTACTCATTGATGATTATAAGTAACCTATAAGACCTGCTGGACAGCTGCCACCCAGGTTCAGAAGCAAACATCACTGTATTTTACACCCTTTGATGCAGATTAATGCCAAGAGGTGCAGCAAGCAAGGATCTGAGTTAAAACAATGAGCCTCAGTTCTTTTATGTTTGACCTGTCTAAATATTTGGTACACGTGCTCCTTTAGATTATTTTTTGTTTCCAAAAAGAGGAGTGGATGATATTCTTCTGTTGTTAACGTCAATGCAACTTTGCATTGAACAGTATTATTGCTTATGTAAGATATTACTATAGCAGGAAATATTATTCACAAATTAACTATTGCGTTTAAATGCAATACTAACTCATACAAACACAATAAGGTTTGCACTTCAATGCAATACTATCTCATATAAATGCAATAAATGTTTTTTGGCAGTAATAAGCTTCTGTAAAAAAAAACATACAAAGCAGTAAAATAAAAATTCTCAATGTTCCAAGAAAAACTGCTATACTACGTTGATCTCTACGTGCATTTTAAACTCAGACAATCCGAAACATTGCTGTTCACAATACTCAAAAGAAGTTGATACCATAAAAAACTGGTCAAAATTCCATGTTCATATGTCTTATATTAAGGAACAGACATTTTCTTTAGGATGCAAATTCCATTGCTTCATTTATATACCTAAAAAGGAAACATCGAAGACAAAAATGTCAGTCAACCTTACAGTATCACACATACTGTAGGCAGGAAGGAGACGTTCAGTATAGGGTAATAATGCAAAAAGTAAGACCTTAAAGTAGTGCAGTAGTGATCTACATACAGATCTGCACCAAAAATACCTCTGCATTCCATACTTTCTGTGACATACTGTATGTATCTCATCAGCTACAGACATTGAAAAGCCTTTGCTATGGTTTTGTTTCAGACAGTATAACTTGACATTTAGCATCCCTAAAAGGAGCAAACAACAGAGCAGAGCTGCCCTGACATTTTCATTAGTTAAAACTGCACTGACTTAAAAACAAGCCTATGCCAAAACTGGAAAGTGTTCTTCTCACAAAAGCTGCACTTTCTTCTTGCTAGATAAGAGCCTGTGCTCTCCAACAACATTGTGACTCACAGTCAGTTGTTAATGCGGAGTGAAAACATCAATAATCAGATGGTGGCAGAGTGATGTACTGTAAATGGACAACATAATATTTGGACAATGGCCAATTGGATAATTGGACTGTATACAGTATCTGAAACAGAACTACTTTTTAAAACTTTTTTTCAGAATTTATTTGTTGTCATACCAGCCTTGAAAGTTACAAAAGTTTACTAAAATGTCAAAGATTTTTTTCCAAATCTGAAGATGTATTAACTTTCACACAAGGGGGCCCCAAGAGTGCTATCCAGTCAGTTTTCTTTTACAACTCAATTAATAATGACATGGAAAGAAAAATGGCTAATTGATCAAATATACTGTGGAGCTGACCACCAAAGGCCTTACCAATTAGCATGAGGGCTCTGTGAATGATTCCTGACTGGTTGATTCTCAGAAGTCACAGGGGGTCTGTGATCTCCATGTTATCTGAGCTTGCAGTATATGAATTGCACAAATTACTTGGTCAGTTTGCTACATGATTTTGTTTTTGACAACTAGGGAGTCAGAGATAAACCAGACAACCTACAGTACTATGGATCTCCAGCACTGCACTTAGCCACCATTGCTAATTATACAGGGATGGCCATTTCCTGGAGAGACACAAGCCAGCCAACAGAATGATTTCATTTAGACCACGAAGATGATGATTTGTATGGAAATAATGTAAAATGAAAATACCGACACCATGTAGCTCTCAAGCCCACAACAGGGCTTCCCACTCCTTGGAAACTACATAGTCCGTAGGATTTGGTTTTGGTTTGAAGCTGAGCTTCTTATTGCTTAGTGAACATTTTAGTGTGCTAATAATTTGATTAAATAGGACCATGCGATTGCTTTCAAATCTTAAACCTAACATGCTAACTTTTGTAATTTTTGTAACTTTTTTTACATCGAGCAACAGGAAATAATAGTAAGAAATCGAATCAGTCACATTATTGGTTCAATTTCATTTTTAGCCACTGACGCAGATACCCTGACCAACAGGCAATGTTAAATTGGTTAAATTAAGAAAATAGATTATTAAGGTAATTAAGATGGAGTCGAAAGAAAATCTACAGTCCTTGAGGACACCTGCTTTAAACTTAATTTGTTTATTCTGATGTTTGTACAGTGCATAAATTTCTGTGATACTATAACTCATAACTATTTATGACAAAAATAAAGAAAAACATTGAAATAGTCCCAAAATAAGCAAGTAGTTCTCCACTTTATCGAACAAAACATCAAAAAGCCCTTTTCACGTAAGAATTACTGTTCTGTCCATAAGATTTAAGATTCCTGTTTCTTTAATCGATGCACGGTCGACACATGAAAGAAAGAAAAATAAAAGTTACTACAGAGCAGTTAAAGTATGACATATGATAACCTAACTTCTTATTCTTTTCATTCAATGTTTCCAATGATTTCTTGCACCAGGCTGAAATGGGATGCAGTAACTATTGAATAGCAGATAAAAACTTGCAGGTTTAATTTATGTTCAAATAAGGACTATTTGACTCAATGACTAATCCAGCTATTCAATTTGAGGAAAAACATGAAGAGCAGTAGTCCTGTAAACGTTCGCCTGGACATTTGCTAATACTCTTCAGTGGTCCACTCAAGTAGGAAATCAGCCACCTGAAATATTTGTTACATATTTACTCAGGTAATGTGAACGGTTCTGAGCTAATATGTGTACTCTATGTTCAGTTTACTTAAACAGCCAAATTATAATATAGACCGTTTTCTTCCTTTTTCTGTTTATGCCACGTCCTTCACAGATGGACAATTACTATTATTATAGTCCATGATGTATTAGGTGCAAAAGAAAAAGTAATCAAAAAAGCAAATACATAACTGGGTTATACACTGTACAGAGTATATGTCAAGATAATATTTGTTCTAAAATGTATTATTTTAATCTTGGGTTTTGGCATTAAATCCATGTTCTCCGAGTGTTGCATGATGATCTGATACTGATGCAGTCAAACAGGAAACCTAGATTATCTCCATTAGAAACTAATATGTTTCAGTTATTTTAAAATGAGCTCTTCCAAGAATGGATGTTTATAGTGATTGTGAGGATTTTTTGTCTTTCCAAATTTCAAATGGATATTTCAAAAACAAAGCAGCCTCAATGTTACTGCTAATGTTAAAACCTTGTTTAGCCAATAAAACCCAAACAATTCATTTATCATACTGGGTTAAACACAACTAAAATATTGTAAAATATTGTTTGCTGCTTTAATCAAGATGGGCACCTAGGTCTGGACTCTCTGTGGTCATTAAAAATCCCAGGGCGTTTCTTGAAAAGTGTAGGGGTGTTACACTGGCATCCTGGCCAAATTTGGCCCTGGACTTTATCAATCATGGCCTCCTAATAATCCTCATCTATGAACTGGCTCCATCACTCTGTACTCCTCTCCACTGATAGCTGGTGTGTGGTGAGCATCTTATTTTATAATTTCATGACAAAGGTAATTGCCTGGAAGTCATCAAAACTGCTTATTTTTTTAGTTCAGAGCTAAGGTGTCAATTAAAGTCACAAAATCAAGTAGAATAACAAATAGATAATCTATCTCTTTCTGGTAGGTGTGATAATCCCCTTTTATATTTATTTCCCTTCAGGTTCCTGTGAGATTGGCTGGGCCTATTACTGCACTGGAGGGGGAGCTGCAGCGGCCATGTTGATCTGTACTTGGCTGGCATGTTTCGCAGGGAAGAAACAGAAGCAGTATCCCTACTAGAGATTGAAATAAGACCACCCATGAAGAGGATCCACAGCACTGGTCAGTCTGGCAAAGGGAAGGGGGTTTTCTTACCACCCCCAAACGGAGCTCTGCTCATATTTACCGACATACGCTGGCTTGACACAGTAAAGGGTCTAAATGAACTTTGAACCCAGACTCAAGCCTTGCCACAAGGCTGCAAGCATCATGGGGGCTGTTGTATTAATACCGCTTGCGCAGTGTTATAGCATCTTCTTAAACTTCTTAAAGGACCAATCTCTCTGTCATATTGCTGTATAGTACTCACATTTTAATTCGTTACTTCAGTCTCTGTGGTTGTCAAGTATTAGCTTGCCTTGAAAAACAGCATACAGTAAAGGAGTAATATCTGTGTCAGTGTGTCATTGTTGTTGTGTAATATTTTTTTCCTTCTGTTAGGCTTGTACTTGCCATAATAACTTCATAAAACTGCAAACATATCGAAATATATTTTCTGGTATACGTATATCCGTACGTTAGCTCTTTGAATGCCAAAGTACAACCAAAAGGTTTATTGTTACCTACATTGTAGTCTCCATTGGTTGAATCAAAACTTAATTTATCTAATCTAATGCTCTTCTTAAGGTTTTGTGCTATTACTAATCTACAAAACCTTAAGGACTGTTGAAGTTAAATAATGGTCTAGGAGATCCGTGTACTAGGTATGCTTGCCTCATCTCTCAGCAAAGATGTTTGTGGTTATACTGAGAGAGATTACATTTATGCTATATACGGAAACACTTTTCAAATTATGTTTTTTGCTAAATTTTGTGTTCTACTTTGCTGCTTTGAAGGAATACTAAGAGCAATTATTATTGATGTTGGGTACTCTTGTACATCTTGTACAGTACATCTCAGTGACAGTACTCAGTAACTTGAGACAGACACCTGTATATTGCTTGGGGAAATCCTTCAAAATTGTAAACTAAAACACAGTTTTTCCTCTGTGACACAGGAAATGGTAACAAATTTATAAAATGACTTACAGTATTAATAATTAAACCTTTTCCATTGTGTAGTAAACTGACATTTGAGATCTAAGAAGAGTCCTGATATTCTTTTTTTCATTTTAAAGTCTGACAGTACTTTATGTTTAGGTACCTGTTTGTTGTATGATAATGTATATTGTATATTATTAGCATTCACATTTTTTGTATAAAAAATGAATGTTTTTATTTGACATTTGTAAATAAATCCAGTTTTAAAAAGTATGTCACCTGTGTCTGGGCTTTCTTGACTTCTAGGGGATAAAACATAAAAAAGGATTTGAGTTAAAACCAAGCCAAATGCTTGTTTTCAGCTAGCACAGTGGTGGAGTAGTTAGCTCTGCTGTCTTGCAGTGCTGGGCCCTTGGGTTCAATTCCTGGGGTGTTATCAGGAGGGAGTTTGGATGTTTTCCCTGTGTTTGCATTGGTTTCCTCTAATTGGCTTCTGGGAAAACAGGGCCTGGTGTGAGTGTGTGTCTGTGTGTGCCCTGCAATGGGCTGGTGTCCTGTCCAGGGTCTATGGCTGGATGGTTCTTTTTCATTTTTTTATTTTCAGCCAGTCTTTCCCAGTTTAACCCTTGGCCATTTTATGTAGTGACTCAACTTGTGGGAGTGGGAGTAACTTTTAGACTTCCATTGTAGGCAGTTTTAAGGTAAGTGGTCTTTGGAAGTGTAGTCAACAGTGTTATACATTTAATGAATATCAGGTCTCATTTAAGTAGTGTCCTAAAATATTGAAATGGCATTCCAAGCCATTATCAAGGCTACCTATTTCTACCATAGGGGATCCTTGTTATAATAACAAAGGTGTACAGAAAATATGTGATCATCTTCAGTTTCTTCATTTTAAATCTGTTTAACTCTGGGGAACCTCCAGTGTCTTTTTTAGTTTTTTTTTTAAACAAGTGTTAAGAGTGGAACTTCTTTTTAAACTGTATCAAAGTTTGAACCCCCTCTTGCCACTATATTTTAACAGATGTGACTGCATTACTTAGGGACAACACAGTGATTTCAGTGTTGATTACACCAGCTGAGAATGTGTGAGTGATGAGGCAGAAAAACAGAAGGTGAAGAGCTTTAAATACAGTACAGCATTATCTATCTCTTTTGGGGTCCCTTATGGAGTTGCTGCTTTCTGAGGAGATGTAGGACTGGTGATCTCTGCATAACTGGATCCCCATCGAACCCGAGCTGATGTACAGATGAATCTCTTGCACACCCTATGACCCCAACTGTTGTATTTTATGACGTATGCTGTAGTTTTTCTGGACTTCTGGGTGTGTGTCTGAAGTCCTTACAGTTTTGTGAGGAAGTGTGTGAAAGAAAGAAATCTGTGCTTTAATTTAAAGTTTAAGACCCATGTGAACTTTCTGATTTTGTTGTTCTTTCATACTTGAGATCTCCCCTTTCAAGTATTTTTTTACTAGAGTATGTGGTTTGAAAGACAAATGAGAAGAAGGAAATACAAATCAATAACAGAAAGAAATTAAAGATATGAAACAAGGCCGAAATTTCATAAAAGAGCAAGAATAAACAAAAAATCAACCCTTTAATATTTTGCTGCAGTGCTGTAAAAACACTAATCCCAATTGATAGATAAAACACTTGTGTCTGAGTTACAACAGTCCTCTAATTTAACCGTACCTGAATCAACGTCAACTGTAACATTTTTTTCATTACACATGGTAGTGTGGTATGTAAATTGTCTGAATTAATGTTTAAATACAGAACAATGACAACGTACCTCTCTATGAGAGCTCTAAGTATCAGACTCTTCATCAGTTCAAGTGCCTGTGATAAGATTATGAGTTCTATCCCATCTGCATCTGGGCCCTGTGATGATATACAATGTATTTTGAAGACTTCTGCAGATGTCAGCTGTAGCTGTAATTTGATCCTATTAATCAAATTCATGTGATTAAATTCTCTCAATCTCTTAACATTTTATCAAATATTCCATAGGGTGTTTAGTGTTTTGATGACAGAATGGGCCATAGTCTTGCATGTTTCATTGATCTCTTTTAATTACCACCTATGTAAAGTTTAAATCTTTAAATTATTTAATGCACAAAATGTTTAAGTTACGTTTTGTACAGCTAGCCTGAAATGAAAATTTGAAGATCACCCAGTACCCCAGAAGCAGTATCACTGTGTCACAGAAAATGTGCCAGTAGGGTGTATCTGTAACATTGTTGTACATGTGTCAGGGGTACTATGAATACCTGGGCTGGTGGGAAGAACATCCAGGCTAAGAAGCAGAAGGCATTTACAACCAGCTGTCCAGGAAAGATCAAGTGATCTTTTATTATCATCTTCTGCCTTTCGGCCTCTGTAGACTGCAAGCTCACCAGTACAACAAGCTCAAGTTAAGCATCACAGCCACTGTGGTGCCAGTGCAGAAAAGGGACTGAACCCTTTTCCTTCATAGAAAGTGTTTGTGTAGAAATAATAATTGACCGCTATTGGTTCATAGCCAGTGCCAGTGAAAAAACAGTTACTGACCAGATAACATCACACCACACCTTCTTAAAAGCAAGTTAATAAGCTATGACAATAAGGAAGGAATTTCAAAACCAAATATAATGTCTTGGTGTTATTAGTGGCCTTGAATGTACAGTGCCAAGAAAAAGTTTGTGAACCACCAATATGCTGTAATTATGAGAATTACATTTTTTTAGCATCTTGTTATCAGAATATTTTTACCAGTTTAAAGCATTTGAGCAGTGGTGTATAACATAGAGAAATCATAAAGAATTAAGCATCAGTGTTTGTGAAATAATATGCAAATCCCATTTCTAAACATCTGGTGCTCCATCCACTTTCTAACAGCTTGTCCACATTGGAAAATGTTCAGGACCACTCTGGAGTGGTCATCCTGCCAAGATCCCCAAGAGCAACCCAATAAATCCTCCAGGAAATCATAAAGTACTCCAGAGGTATATTTAAGGATCCAAAGGCCTCTCTGGCTACAGCTAATGCCAGTGTTCATGCCTGAAACATAAGGTAAAGAGTGAATTGGAATGGTTTTCATGGAAGAATAGCCTTCTCAATGAGAGAAGAAACCAAGTCTCTTGTTGTCACCCATCTCAGTTGCCAAACAATACTTGTCAACTCAAAGAGCACTCGGAAGATCAACAAGACTACTGGAAGAATATTCTCTGGACAAACAACTCAAAAGGTGAACTTTACATCCACAATGAAGCAGGTATTCTGAGGTTAAAACCAAACACTAACTTTCAACAGAACTTCAACCAATCTGTCAAGCATAGTGGTGGGAGTATGCTGGTTTTTGGGCTGCTTTGCTGCCTCTGGACTTGGGGGGCATGTCATCATTGACTGAACCATGCATTTGGCACTGCATTAGCAAATTCTGATACAGGAGAATATCTGGTCAGTTGTTTTTTTGCTAAAGCTGAGCTTAAAGTGGGCCATGTCGCAAAACAATGGTTCTAAACATACTGTACAAGCAAATCTACAATATAATGGCTGAAACTCAAAAATGTCACATGAACTGGCCAAGTCAACATCTAGACCTAAAAACCTAACAAACATTCTTCATAAATTTAAGTCTTAATAAACTTTCTGTAAATTAAGGATGAGACAAAGTAAGGTAGTCGATATCCACCACAGCAACTACATTTCTTTCTTTGTATTCTTTTATAGCTCCGTCTCAAAATGCCTTCTCAAAATAATTGTAAAAAACCTAGTTAAATCCCAAAAAACAGACATGGTTACACACTATACCACTAAGACATAAAAACAAAATCACAAAATCCCATGTTGTTTCCAAGTTTATTTTGAGAATTTGTGATTAATCAAATCATACAGAGTAACTGTTTTCTGATGTATCACACATCCCTAATATAATCTGCTAACTGTTCGACAAGATCATTTGGAAATTAAAAATCTCAATATAGAGTGTGGCATGTTACCATGGGAACATGTTTTGCACAAGGCAGAGCTGTTAATGCTAACAGAAAATGTGTTAATTTTGAGGGCAATGAAGTTACAATTTGCAGAAAAGCACATTTATTGCACAATATCACATAATATAAGACAAAGATAACTTTTCTTTTATCTTCGTATAATACAATATAAGCAAGTAAACATCACAGAATAACCAGCTCCCTTTGAGAAGCATTGTTCACTAAAATCAATTTCTAATATATAAATTATTAATGATTAATTAAAACAAAATATTAATTAATTTTCATTTAAATAATTTTATATACAGTATAAAGTGATGTTCCAGCTACATTAATTTATTTTACACACTTTCATTGATGCAGGTCTTGACAAGGTCTGATTTTTACAAAGTGGAAAGCTGCCCATTTTACAATGGAGCATATGTGTATATATTCTGTCCTGAATATACAAAATAATTTATGTTTAAATGAGAATGTCCATCTGTCCATTTTCTAACTGGTTTATCCAAAACAAGGTCATGGGAGAGCCAGAGCCTTTCCCAGAAAGCAATGGGCACAAGCCAGCTAAACTCACCTTTTGATCCTATCCCATGACACACAGACACACACAAGAGCCTTGTGTATTTGGTACTCAGTACCTAATTGATTCAAGCATCTCTCTAGTTTCTTCTTGATAGAAAGGCATGGTATTCGAGGCTTCAACAATGTGTCTGTGTAATAGTCAAGTTCAGTGATGCTTCCTTAAAATATATTTTTCAGAGTGATAGCTGTGATCACAGTTTCCTAGTTTGTTTTAACGTTGTGGTATTTACACACGAAGACAAGCTGCCAGATAAGGCTTTGTCTACTCCATTTTCTGCTTTGTGCTTTTCCATATGTGTTATCTCTACCTCAGGGCCATTTATAATGTTTTGCCTCAGTACATCTTAGCTCATAGACTTTACTGCAGATTCCTGCAAAAGTATTTTTCCTTTGTCTTTTCCCCCAGCACGATCTGTCAGCATTCACATAATTCCAGCTGACTTGACCCCACAACTGCAACTGATTTTTTTAAGGAGTGGGCATGTGATGCCAAACACTCAGCAGCCCCTAAGAGGAAGCAGAAAGGACATTCGCCAGTAATAAATGCTATGATGAAGAGCACAGAAAGAGAGGCTTACTTTTCAGGAAGAAAGCGATGCTTGTAGATGAAGGAGTAAACATTCTTCAGTGTAAAATTCGTGTAACACGCCCCCCTTCTTAATTTATCTTCTCCAGCAGGTGCCAATTTTTAAGCGGA